GCTTTGTGCATGCTAGGCAAGCACTCTACCAATTGAGCTATGTCCCTAGCCCCAAGAGAGGATTCCTTTTGTTTTTTGAGATAGGGTTCCTCTGTGTAGCCCTGGCTATCCTGGAACTTGCTCTGTAGACTAGGCTGGCCTCGAATTCATAGAGATCCACCTGGAGAGGGTTCTTTAAAAAGAATTCCTCCTTCAGCTTCTGGAGGCCTTAGGTGCAGCTTGTACCTGGGTAGTTTCTATTTTTGTTTCCATCCTCACATGGCACTCACATCCTGCATCTTTGTCTATCTCTGATAAGGATGCTTGTTATCATATTTATGACTTACTTGTGTAATCCAGGATGATCTCATCTCAAGGTCTTAATTTAATTATATGTGCAATGACTTTTTCCAAAGATTTCTTATTCATAGATTCCACTTTCCTTGTGGGGGCAGGGGTATCATATTTGATCAACCACAACTAGCATGGGCAATAGCCACTAGTTCTCAAAGACTGGTGCAGTGATGCCTCATAGTTATTTGCCTCCTGGGGTTTGCTAGCTTCCAGCCTCACTCCCTGACCCATCTTGACAGCCCACAAAGAACAGAAAATTTAAGTGAAGATAGATTTTAGGGAAGGGAAGAGTTTGGCTTGGCCAATCTAGACTCTTCAGTGTTCTCAGCCAGGCCTCTGAAAAAAAACCCTGTTCACAAGTGCCCTGTGTGTTCTCCACTGGTGGGTATGGAGTTTCCACTTCCTTCAGTCTTTGTCTGCATGGCCAGCTTTTGACCATGGGCATGGCAGGTGAACTTGCTGATGTTTGCTCTGAGCCAGGCAAAGAGCTCAGGGATTTCATGGCTCAGCTTAGCTTTTCTAATTTTTTATTTATTTATTTATTTTTTTATTTTTGGTTATTGTTGGCTTGTTTTCTGAGACAGGGAGTCTCTCTGTAACAGCCCTGGCTGTCCTGGAACTCCCTCTGTAGACCAGGCTGGCCTTGAACTCACAGAGATCTGCTGCCTCTGCCTCCTGAGTGCACCACCACTGCCTGGCCAGCTCAGCTTTTCTACTCAGAGTTGGTGACTATTCCCTTTCATAGGTAAAGAAGCTGAGGCTCTGGGGAAGCAGTGGTTTTCTTAAATGTGTAAACTGGCTGCTGTAAAAGCCAGGCTTCAGGACCAGATTGTCTGATCTCAAAGCTTGTGCTTATATACAAACTATATCTATACCTAGGACACCTCCCTGAGTGGGAGCATTCTCTGTGGGTTGGTCAATGGGAAGATGTCCTTGGCTGGGTCCCCACAGTCAGTGGCAGACAGAGGTGATCATGTTCAGTGGCTTACTCTAAGGAAGGGCTTCTGAGACATTTTCTGCTCCCCTTACACTTAAGAAAAATTTAATTAAAATATTTCACATTTACTTATTTACTTTATTTATTATTTTTGTGTGTATGTGCATGCAAGTATATGAAGGTCAGAGTCAGTTCCTTCCTTCCATTATGTGGGTCTTGGGGATCAAACTCAGGTTGTTAGGCTTGGCAGCAGCACCTTTATCCACTGAACTAACTCTCTGACCCTCACCCGAGAAATTTTTATAGGATCCCAGGTATATAGGTGTATACACAGGTGTATAAGTCAAACATCAACTGATAATAAACCATAAGACAATTTTTTTTTTTGGTTTTTCGAGACAAGGTTTCTTTGTGTAGCTTTGGAGCCTTTCCTGGAACTCACTCTGTAGACGAGGCTGGCCTCGAACTCACAGAGATCTGCCTGGCTCTGCCTCCTGAGAGCTGGGATTAAAGGTATGTGCCACCACCGCCCAGCAAGATGTTTATTTTAAAACAGTTCTTTGATATATGTGTAATTTTATCATTTATTAAAGAAGAAAGCAAAATTGCACCTGTGAATATGCTTGTTTATTTTTAGTTAAAGAATAAGTTCTTAGTTGAATATTTGATACTGTAGGATGTGAAACATTTTGAACATTTTTCAGAGTCAATTGATATTTTGATTTTATAATTGTTGGTGCTGAAAACACTGCTTCACATAGCACATAGCACAAAATGACAGAAGTGTCTTTAAGGTCACTTGAGAAATCATTGGAAAACCTGTCCTAAATCCAAGCTAAATTTCATTAAATGGTGTGTGTGTGTGTGTGTGTGTGTGTGTGTGTGTGTGTGTGTTATGCACAAAGAGGCCAGAGGCTGATGCTGGTGTCTTCCTCAGCTACTCTCCATCTTACTATTTTTGATTAATTTTGTGTGCATGGGTGTTGTGCTTACATAAATGTTTGTGTACCATTCCTGTGCATGGTGCCCACAAAGGCCAGAAGAGGGTGTCAGGATCATCTGGAACTGTGAGCTGCCATGTAGGTGCTGGGAACCAAACCTGGGTCTTCAGGAAGAACAGCCAATGCTCTTAACCACTGAGTCACTTCTTCAGTTTTATTTTTTGAGACAAGATCCCCCACTTGAATCAGCAGCTCACCAACTGGCTAGGCAGCCTGGCCTGTGAGCTCTTGGGGTCTGCCTATCTCCATTCTCCAACTCTGAGGTTATAGGTACACATGACCAAGCCTGGCTTTTTATATGTGTGATGGGGATTTGAACCCGGGTCCTTATGCTTGCAGAGCAAGTGCTCTGACCCATTCAGCAATCTCCCCTTCTCTGAAATAGCAACCTTTTATAAAACCATAGCTTAAAATTTGTTGTTGTTGTTGTGTATGAGTGTTTTGTCTGCATGTGTATCTGTGCACCACAATCATGCCTGGGACTTTTGGAGGTCAGAAGAGAGTTTGGATTCTAAGGAACTGGAGTTACAGATTGTTGTGAACCAACATGTTGGATTCTAGGAACTAAATTCAGGTCATCTGCACAAGCAACAGTGCTCTTAATGGTTGAGACATCATCTTACTAGCCCTCAAACAGCAATTCATTCATTTGTTTGTTTTGAGACAGGGTCTCACTATGTAGTCCTGGCTGATCTGGTACCCACCCTGCAGACCAAACAACACTGAACTCTGTTTTTGCCTCCTCAGTATTGGGATAAAAGGCATGTGCCTTTTCTGACATTCTAATGCAAAACAAACCAAAGATATACTAAATTGATATTTTCATGCTGCAGAATGATAGTAGGAAATTATCAGAAGTCTTTGTTTCTATAATTAATCATTTTGTTTCTGATCATGCACATAATAGTAATAACACTGCAATTCACAACATACACTGTTCTCAGATCTGAGCTCTTGTATGATGTGACAGTATGCACAATGTATAAGCTATAGAAATTCACTTTCTAGTCCTGAGGGACTCGGACCACTGAGTCATTACAGATCTTTGTGGTAACTCTGTCTGGGAAAGTGCATCCTGAAGTTACCTCTGCCTTCCCTCCAGTATCATCTCCTCCATCTTCTGCACTTCTGTCTTCAGCTCTGCCAGTCACGTGCTTTTCCTTACCCAGCCTCCGATTGCCTGTTCACTCTTCAGGCCTCAGGCCCCAGCTTAACATCATTCCTTAGGAGATATCCTTCCTGACTCAGGTGTGGCCACTTTAAGTCCTAAGTCTTTTCTGTGGCCACATTAACCAGACTCACCCAGAACTGGCCTTTGAGACCTTGCAGACACAGCTGGGCATTCCATGATCCTTTTATTAAAGGCATCTTTGGGAAGGGCTTGGGGTGTCATCACCTGTGCAGAAGAGGCTATCCCAGGCAGGAACAGCCAGGCCTTTGTAGCTGCACATCAAAGATGCCCATCCCTGGTCCAAGGTTTATGGCTGAGATGCTTAGGGAGCCATCCTTCCCATCACCTGGGTTGTCTGTTCTCCAGCTCACAGGGAGGTGAGGGCTTCTGGGCAAGGACAAGACACACTCAGCCCAGTTTTGAGGAACAATGTGACTGTTCCTCCCAGCACTGTACATACACTTAATATCACTCTTGTCCTCTGTGATGTCACACTTTATTTGTAATAATCATATCTGTTACCCCAAGCTTTACCTTCTGTGAAGTTTCCTTACAAGGGGCTTTCCTTAGACCTCAAGACTTAGAGTATCTCCCTTTGCCACACTATGAGGTGTCCACCATTGTCAGCCCCATGTCATAGGTGAAGACACTGAGGCACAGGTCACATTATTTGTCAAAGTCATCTGGCTGGAACTGGTGGCCTGGCACTTCCTACAACCAACTTCCCTCCCCTCTACCCATAGACCTCTGCTACGCAACTGCCTATTGACATCGAACAAAGTCCAGATCCCTTAAGGTGGTCCTGAAAACCCTTTATAGTTGTGAGTGTCTCACCTGACCCCTGCTACTCAGCTCCCCGAGAGCTTTGCATTTTAGGGAGCCATGGGCCACTGTCCCCATTCATCTTGCCCATATAATACCTTTTCTGCTTTATACAATTGATGAACTCTGATGCAGTCTTTTCCCACTCTCTTTGGATGGTGCTAAGGAACAAACTCAGGGTCTCACACATGCTAGGAAAGTACTCTACCATTGCCTGTACCCTCAGTTCTCTTTTAAAAAATCTTCTAAAATTATGTGTATATTTGTTTATGCCTGTGTGTAGGTTTGTGTATGTATGCAGCTGCCTGTATAGACCAGATGCATTAGATCCCCAGAACTGGAGTTATGGGAGGTTATGAGCCACCTGACATGGGGCACTGGGAACTGAACTCAGGTCCTCTGGAAGAGCAAACTGTGCTCCTAACCACTAAGCTATCTCTCCAACCCTCTCACCCCCCATTTTTAAACGTTCTGAAACAGTGTTTCACTATGTTGTCCAAACTAGCATTGAACTTTTTATTCCAGACCGGCCTTGAACTTTTGATTTTCCTGCCTCAGCTTCCCAAGTAGCTGGAATCACAGCCCTGTGCCCAAGGGTCTCAGACTCTAGTCCATTCTTCAGTATCTAGAGAGACTGGTTAAATCACTTTCAATCATAAGACCCCAGTGCATACGTAGGTATGTGCACACGTGCCCTTTCATGATGCACTGTGTTAAATGTCTACATTTTCTTTAGACGCTGAACTTCCTAAGACCAGGTGCCAAGTCTCATCTACCTTGGTACATTCATCCCTGAGTACAACATCCAGCACAGAGAAGACTCAAGAAATGTTTGCTAATGAATGAATGATCTGGTAGAAAGAAAAAAGACTGAAGGTGTGACAACAGGAAATTCAAATGCTCCCCTGAGGAAAGAAAGAGAGAGATGGTCCAGGAGACAGGTATGTATGTTGGAAAGACATAACACATCTCTGTGCCTGGTTGAATAAAGAGCATGCCCTAACATGTAGCTCAGGCGGGCCTCAAACTTTCTAAGTAATCCAGATTGGCCTTGCGCTTGGATTTTTATATATGTGTGTGTATATATAAGTAAAATATCTTTTTTGAGACAGGGTCTCACTGTGTAACTCTGGCTGGCTTGGACTTAATATGTAGCTCAGGCTGGCCTGGAACTCAGACTATTTCTGCCTCTCAAGTACTGGGATAAGCATGTACCACCATACCTGGTTTTCTCCCTCCCTTCCTCC